AGGCATGATCATAGTGCACTGCAGCCTGGAATTCTCAAGTGATCCTTCCACCTCAGCCTCCCAAATAGCCGGGACTACAGGTGCATACCTGACCATTATTTGGTTTTTAAAGCAGTAGCAATAGCAAGAAGGAAAAAAACAACTAATTTAAGTTTATATATTTTTCCCCACCTTCTAGTAAAAGTGTCATGAGTAGAAAACAGGCTCCAAGATAGGCAATAGAGAAATCAAGATTCTAAATGGAGGATTAGTGTCTACTCAATCTCCAAGGCTGAAGAATAAGTCTAGTGATTGTTTCATAAATTAACTATAATTCAAATGTTGTTTTATCATGGGCAATTATGAATAACAAGTCAAAACATTTTATTAAATGATTTCTGTGATTAATTTAGGGATATGCTTTATAACTACTTGAAGTTTACAAAGTTACCTCACTAACTTATTTAATGTTACATTTCAGAGAATTAATTTTTTAAAAAGCTTAATACTACGATTACCTGTCAATACCCATCTTCTTTCTGCTTCTAAATCAAGTACAGCTTTTGTCTGCTGAGCATTTGGGTTTCGTATGGCATGTCCTTCATCCAGGATCACTCTTAGCCACCTTATGCTATGTAATGGACTATTACCTTTAGTCTGAAATAAACATTTCATATGAATTAAAAAATACAGGTAAGTAAAACAGTACTTAACACAATTTATTAAACTATCATATTTTTTAATATCAATACTTACTATGTGCTAGGCCCTGCTTTAAGCACTACATAAATTATAGAATACTCAAAAACTTATAAAATCAGTATAAGTTGTTACCCTTTTACATATGAGAAAATTGAAGCACAAGGTGCTAAGTATGTTGCCCAAAGTACCACAGCTAGGAAGTGGCAGAGCTAACATTCAAACCCAAGCAATCTAGCTCTCCACTGAGCACTGTTCAATACACTGAACTATATTGTGCCTCAGACTGAAATACAGCGACACAAAAATTGTCAGTTGTAAGATTTATTTGAATACGACAGCATTACCTTTTTTATTTGATCACTTAGTACTGATTTAATGGTGAGTACAAGTGGTATTTGTTTTTCCCCTTCTTGTGATACTTTACTTCAAGTGTTTATAGCAGCACAATTCACAATTACCTTCTTTTATATAAAAGGTAACGTTCTTACCAGAAGACTCAAATTTTGACAAAAAGGTACTTTTCAGGAAGTTTTAACTGGACAGGTAAACAACAATTAGACTTCTAAAAGAATTACAAAACTCACAAATTACAGCTACAAAAAACAGCCTACTTTCAAACTGAGATATTAATTAATCAAATCATTGTGATAGAAAATAATTTTCCAGAATATTAAAAGAGAAAATAAAATTCATTTACAATTTGCTTTATATAATTAGTCACAATCCAAATTTAAAATCTTAATT